TGTTAATAAGAAGTAAATTGCTGAAAAATGTAAGCAAAGATTCAAACTCCGTCCAGTTATGCAAAATAACAGATCTAGATGCTATAAGCCAAAAATGAAGAAACGCACACAAAACATTTAGAATAACAATTAGTTCAAACATGGAATTTTAGTGTATGCAGCATTTATTCATTTAAAACAGGTTGGGTTGAAATCTTTATTCGAAGAGCTCGAGTGGGTACTTAATAAATTTCTAATTAGGACACTATCAATATGTTGAGCCAAGTAGCCATTGTGAGGCACGCTCCTTTTCAGGCGGTAAATTAGCACTCCAGCTCTTATCTCGGCTGCATGCGACGTCTTGAGAGGGGCTGCAAAAGATAATTTATAGGTTTTAATTAGCGCCCATTCCGCCTGATCAGCTTGGCGTTCATCACCAGCGAGTGAATAAAAGCCGGTCAAAAGCACTGTCACTACCCACTGGCAGGGCGCTTTATCAAGGTACGCAGGGCCGTATTACACGAGGTGTAGAGGCGACGTAATTTCCCCAGTGCTGATAAAGCCCGTTGAATAATGCCTGAGTCATCTGAGACACCATTTACTGAAATGACTTTATTGACGACTTAACGTCCGTAATTCATTTTACCCTTCACGTATCGGACCTGGGTTTGGTACAGTAATTGGATGATGAATGTGGCAACGGGCCGCACCTCGTATTATTGAATGTAATACACACGCCCTTCTCTAAATGTCTCGAAAATCATGTAAAAATCGAAGTTGTAACTATTTTAATTTCATTATGGACAGGTTGAAATATTGTCCGGTCTTGAATAGCTCTGTTGCAATGATAGCTCACGGGATATTTAATTAGGCCTACTCTACATAAAATAGGCGCTCACAACCTGACAACACAATGGGATAGTCGTGGATAAACAATCATATTCCGTATATAAAAACTGGGAACACGCGTGACCTCAATAATTATCAAAACGCACCTGAAAGCGCAAAAATTTCTGCGCAGCCATTTACATTACTGCTCAGGCTTACAAATCGTCAGTGAATTTTAACCCATTTTCATCCCAGGTGCGTTTTATGGATTGCTTTAGTTGTGCTTTTCAGAATTGTTTTAGCCAATTAGCAAACAGCATAATTGCCTTCATTAAAGTATGAAAAATCCACCGCTGCCTACAATAAATACGCCTTGTCGTGCAAAATAAATCAATGTGAAACGCTGCCAGTCGCATTTACAATTTCAATTAACACATCTAAGGTGGATGTTTTAATGAGACATGGAGACATACGAAATAGACAAATGTGAGGTTTTCTTTTCTTTTCTTTTCTTTTTTAGCCAGCATACGGTGGTCATTTAACCAGCAGGTATAGCTAATAAGCAACTTTTACACCTGTCGTCAAATCTTAGAAGGGCTATAATAAACTTGTGCCAGCACTTTCTTAAAGAAAGTTGTAAGGTGTTTGGTCTTGTCGTATACGTTCAACATTAATCTTTGCATCCATTGGGATGTGTCGTAGGCTACTGTATCGTACATTCGGTTATTTTATTGTTTAACTTCAGTATGAGTTATGTAAAACAGGTAGTTTTTACTTTCATTTCGCATAAAAATAAATGGCAAAGTTTCAAGATGTGCACTTTAGCCACTGGTTCACAATAACGGTGTAAAACGAAATAAATTGAAGCGGCATAAAATTTATTTTTTTATTTTTTTATTTTTTAGCTCACATCAACAAATCTGTCTCTATTGTTAATGTTAGGCCTATATACGGGGTTTACAGGACACTTTGCTATCTCGAATAGGTGAAAAAAAACTTATTTGAATTAGTCTAGACTTATTTAAGATTAACTTAATCACAAGCGATCTGCATTAAAGTAGGCTTACATATTCTTTTGTCTTTATAAAGTGTATTCAGTGATGTCCTTAAAAATTATAGTCTACCATTGCGTGTTTTTATTTATTTATTTATGTTTTTTGCCATTTCATATGCTAATAAATTCATTTTAATCTATACTGTGTATAGCCTATATAAAACAGAGGTAACCTAGTGAACGAAGGCCTGCTGCATGTGATTCAAAAGGTGTCTTTCTTATCAAGCGGTTTTATATTCTACAGTTAGTGAACGCCTCCCAGTGGATGTTCTGCTTATGACGGAGAGATCTGAAGAAGCCAAATTTAAAAAGACAACGTGGTTAAAGAATTATAAATAGATAAAGTAATAAAACATACCAAAGAACAGCAACAAGTTCTTTGGTAGGCTTCTGATTTTTAGCAATTTATCTGTTTTTAATTAGGCTAAATGTAGGCTATTCCTATAATAATAGGCCTATAGCTAAGAGTGGGCATTTTTGAGTAGCCTAGTGCCACAAAAGGTTTACGCCTTTTATAAACTGTCCCTGCGACAAATCTATCGGGCTAAGGCAGTCCGGGATACAAAATGTAAAACAAACCAAAGTTCCCAATTCCCGAACATTTATGTCCGAAAAGCCCTAATATATCGTCCTTCAACAAGATAAAGGCAAGGCGAACCTTGGCTGCCATCATGTGGTCAAGGGAATAAGGTCCACATGAATATCCTAGTCTCCCCCACAAAACACTGCTTGTTTTCCATGTCTCCTTAAACACGCCTATTTCACGATCGTCAGCTCATTAGTAGAGATTCCACGACCTGAAATGGGTGTGTCAGACAAAGGAGAGATGCGAAATGTAGCCTATAACCTACATAATAATAAGTAGCCTATATCGCGCGCGCGTGTGTGTGTGTGTGTGTGTGTGTGTGTGCCTAACTTGACATAGGCCTAATACATTTATGTATGCTAAAACATCATATATTTTACGCAGGCGTATTTTAAATTTAAACAGTTTCCTTAAAACATATAACCTAGTCTGATCTCTTTTAAATTAAAAAAAAAGAAAGAAAGAAAAAAAAAGAAAAAGAAAAAGAAAAGAACCGTGCATATCTGGGAGTAGCTATTTACAGTTAGGCAATATGTAACTTAAGGTGGCTATTATTATTATTATTATTATTATTATTAATGCTCGAACAATAATTACAAAAAGAATATCGCCAAGGGATTACAAACAAATACATAAAATAATACCAACAATAATTAAATTAAACATAATTAAGAGAAACACACGCATACATATTTTATAACAAACTGAAAATAGTTACAAATAAATAACAACAACCAAACAAACAAACAAGCAAACATAAAAAGGCTGGCAATACGATGAGATAGAGGCCAACAAAGAGACATTACAGAGACATTCCATTTGGAACTTTACGTTTGGGTTTCGCGGTTGCTCCTCATGCGTATGCTGACGTAGTCCCGTTTGGGAGGAGTTAGATGGCGTAGTTTATGTGGCCTGAAAAAAAAATAATTTACAGTAGGCCGAGTCGCATCTTGCAGTAGCTTTAGTTGACCAGCAGGTGTCAGGGTAATGTTGAGCAAAAAACATCTATTGAGAATCCTTTTATGTGAAAAGGATCAGATAAAACGGTTTTCAGTGACTGGTCCACATAAAAGATGTATGAGGATATTTGACTTGTAAGATGTCCAAGAGTCTTTTGCTGGAGTTTTAGCACCTTGCACTGCAGGTCAGCTTTCCAAAAGTATCAGTTAGGCTACTTATGAATGGAGAACCTAATTTCATGATAGTCATAACACAGCCTACACATTTTACACCAGTAACTAAAAATGTTATAACAGCGTTGAAACGCAAGCAAAACACTAATTAAGTCAACATAACTAAATCCAAAAGTAATAATAATAATAATAATAATAACAGCCTTCTACGATTTTCTTAATGTGTAATAATAAATTATGTTTCACAGTTCTCCATCAGCATGATGCAAGATGTTACTTCAGCCTTTTTATTTTGGCACTTGAGTAGATTCATTAAATATTCTGCTGTTTTCATTCATAATTGATGGATATGTCTAATGCAGACAAGGCCTATGTCAGATTACATCAAGATCTTCAATGTGCTTCCAGTCGTCCGCTAGATTCCTCATCAATAACATATTGATATATTTCTGTTCTTATCCTAATGTTTTTACAATGGGTGTATTTTGTGAAATATGTTTAGAACACATACTATAAGTATGGTGATATAGCATCAATAAACCAATTGTCCACGTGTACTGCACCTAAAAACAGTCAGTATGAACCCATGCTATTTAGTTATTACCGGTAGTAGTCAGATATTGTTCAAAATTATGGGGTCAGATATTTGATGTTTTTGAAAGAAGATTCTTATGTTCACCAAGGCTGCATTTGTTTGATAAAAAATACAAAAGCAGCAATATTGTGAAATATTATTACACTCTAAAAAATGCTGGGTTGTTTCAACCCAATTTTGGGTCAAATATGGACTAACCCAACTGTTGGGTTAAAAAGTTAATTTAAAAATGTAACCAAAATTTAACCCAACAGTTGGGTTAGTCCATATTTGACCCAACATTGGGTTGAAACAACCCAGCATTTTTTAGAGTGTA